GGTCCTTGCGTACCTCCTGGTACGAAGCCCAGAGGAGGGATCCTTCGCTGGCGGGCTCTCTGCGAAAACCTGAGCCGCCAATGCGCATAGCGGGGGATGGCCTGTTGGAACGAGATGTGACTCTCAGGACAGGCCAGACAGTCAGCGTCCCTGTGGTTCCTAACGGGATCGCGGGCGCAAATGGCGTCACTTGGCGTCGCGCCTGCTATAAAGCAGTGCATGACGGCGTCCTGGAAACGCATCGATCCGCTGAAGTCACCATCAAGCTCCTTGAGCGGGCCGTGTGGTGGCCGGATCTTGAGGCTGACGTGAAGCTTTGGGTGAGCAAGTGCCTTGCTTGCCTCAAAGGAAGGGCTCGGCCAACGAAGGTCGAAGCACGGGCTGTCAAGAGCAGCGCCGAGACCTGTTGGCAGGAAGTTAGCGTTGACTGCGAAGGCCCGAATCGTGAGGACAGGGATGGCTATCGCTATACCTAGAGAGCCCGGATGACTGAAAATAGATCATTCGTGGCCCGAATGACTCGTAATGCATGCATGCCATGATCTACGACACCTCCGTGCTCGTGGATGCTCACGACTGCTCACGACAGCTCACGACAGCCCCCGACTGCTCACGACTGGCTCATACCAAATTGGTAGCATGTTCAATATATGGCAAATACTTCTTTACTGATGTTCTTCGAACATCAGTAACGCTGTATCAGAAAAAAGTGCGGGGAAAAAAAGGTTGTAGAGTTCAGGGTGAGGGTTAAGGTGCGGCCAGTAGGTGTTTTACTGATGTTGCTCTGAAACATCAGTAATGCTTCAACAGGAAAAAGGAATGGCAAAAAAAAACTCTATAAGGTTTAGCGGGTGAGGGCAATGAAATCAACCCCAGTATAGGGAGTTATAAAACTTAAGCCCAAAGCCCAAACATGTGCTGCAGTGGACATTCCAAATTTGATTGCGCTGATCGGAGCCTTCCACTAGAAATGCTCCAGATTGAAGTTGTTGAAGTTGATACATCCAGTGGGCGCCGGCATCTTGAGGCTCAGGATGAAACAAGCCCCAGTGGTGCATGTCAAGAGAGAGCGGGAGAAGCAAGCCAAAAAATCTAGATCGGGTAAATCCGGCTGGCAAGCTTGGAAAGAGAAGCGCCAGATTGTAGCAGGTCTGGAGGAATCTCGTCGCCAAGGCGAGCTAGCGCTGTTGAAAGCCAAAGTGGAAGCTGCGTCTCCGGAGCCAGAGAATCTGCAGGTTGTTCAGTGCGACCCGGCCTCTAGCTCTTCCCAGGCAGTGTTGCTGGCATCACCGGTGCCGCCGTTCCCATTGGAAGAGAACTTGCAGCTAAACAGCTCCCAAGACAAGGGCGTGCAAACTGTGCTATCCCTTCTCAAAGTGAGGGACGAGGACACTCAAACACCAGATTGGAGACGACCTTACGTGCTAGGTCTGCCTGTGCGGCAAGCGTATCCTCACTACATTAATGGGGTTCCTCCTGATGATGCGCCCTCGCCTGATCCAAGAGTGAGCAAAACCCGGCACCGGGCAGCTTCCTTGTCGCCTTCCACTTCGAGGAGGCGGGATGCACTGATTGCTCGCAAGTTGCTTGTAGCACTTGAAGTCATCCGAAAACCAAAGGCCTCAAAATTCTACCCTCAAAAAAAAAAGAAACTTGCCAACTTACCAAGCAGGTGACATGGCATCTGGTCGCCTGGCAGACGCGGCAAGCATCAGGTGCCTTTCCAGCCCTGCAAGTGCCTGCTACCATTGACTTGTGCAAGTTTATTCTACCCGTTCCTCTGCTTGAGGTCTGTTTGCTCAGAACTTCCAGCCAAACCCATGTCTGTTTGCTCAGAACTTCCAGCCAAACCCATGAAAGACCTTGGTGGCCCGATAATGCGCGAGCAAACCATTCAAGAGGTGGCAGTGGTTCCAGTCAAATATTTAGTTGATCCTGCTTGAAAAGCCCTGAAGCTTGAGCCATGAAGCGTGCCAAACTGAATCTGCGAAAGCAGAAGAAACGTGCTCGCAAACCATGCTGCAAGCCGATCTATTGCCCTTCAACCGGATTGGCGCCATGCTTGCTTCAGTTGCCACTTGATCCAGTGCAATGTACTTAAGGGCTAGGGGGGGTTAGTAAATCTTGGTAGGGTTCTGGGTATTGACCCCGACCAGTAACAGTCTGTACTAGAGGTCATATCGAGAGCTCCATGTATTTTTACCATATTTTTCTCCAGCTGTTACTGAGTGGGGGCATTACTGATAGCCCCTGCAACGTGTACACAGTAGCCCCAGATAGCCCTATCATTAATACCCCTGCTATATCAAGAGCTTCTGGGTGGTTGAGGTGAAGCTGTCCCCAAAAAGGTGTTGGGTAATGGCGTGGAATTTGGGGGGTAGGTCGCTACATAGTTGTTGTTTGAAAGGTAAGGACATGGTGATTGATCTAAACCCAAGCTTGTAACGTGGCTTTCCACATGACCCCAATATTATTGCATGTTTCAAAGGGCCAACCCTGCACTCGCGAGAGCCACGAACACAAAACCTTTAAACCTCCGCCCCAATATCCCAAAGTTCAGACCCCTCTACCCAGAAGGTCTCAAACCCTGAACCCTAGTAACCCCTAGCAACCCCAGCAAAACACCTGATCCAATCTAAAACCCAGTGCTTTACATAGTGTGACCGAAGATTTCCGCTACTCATCAACCTTCACTGAGCCCATGATCTATGTACTGGCCAAACAAACATTCAACCTGAGTTCCCACTCCCAACATTTCTTGTAAAGCACATTTTAGGGTTTAGGGTTTATGAGGGGATAGGGTTTAGGCCATTCCACCCCGTATAGTAGAGAATTCTATACAAGGGTATCATCTTCGTCGAAGATTAAATTCAAGACCCCTCGCGTGTAGACCCTACCTGCCCAAGTCCATCCCACGTAAACACAGTCAGATTCCCATCCTGCCACCGCCCTAGGTTGAATCTCTTGATGCTGGCCGGCCTGCCCTATTCGGTGTTGCACATGACCGACAAAGTGATGCAAAACATGACTCGCCCACAGCTGGTTTCTTGGCTTTAACGAGTTTGGTTTTAGACATGTTCACGGGACTGTGACAAAGCCTCTTGTTTGCTGAAGGGGTTAGATCTCGTGGAGAAGTTCGCGGGAACGAAGGCCATTACTACGGCCTTCAGGCTTGCGCGTAGGCAGGTGTCATAGATATATGGCATGAGCGAGTGCGTGTGTCCGCAGGAAAGCTGGAGCTGCGGTCAGCTCCTTTGAGTTGAGAGATGATCCGGTGTCGCAGGACATCTTTCTAGCAGTGCTGAGCTTGCCACTGGGGTTCTTCCAAAATCCATTCGGCAGGACATTTTGTCTGGCATCGGATTTGCTTACGGGCTGAGCTTGACGCTGCGCCTCTTCCAAAATTCTACTCGGAGCGCACTCCAAACATTCTTGCTGTAAAATCTTAGGAGCTCGAGGTTTCTTGGGGGTAGTGGGAGGGGAGACATTATCTATAGATTCCATTCTGCCTGCAGAAGAAAGAATATCCCTCTGCTGTGTCTAAGGCTGGTATGAATTGGGAAGCTCCGGTTTGCAGCAGCTGGGTATGGGTGAACAGGCAAGACAAATGCAGGTTGCTTGCGAACACATGGCGTATGCATTACCACGCATTGCTTGAAGGTCGACATCGGGAAGATCAAGGTCATATCCGCTTGGAGATATGTCATCGGATGCTGTTTCGGGCGCGAGGCTTGCTTGCAATAGTTTACTCCTAATCCTCAATTCTACTATTCATTTGCAATTTGCAAACGTTCCCTTGTGACGTTGTGGTTCCAGTTTTAAGTGACCATGGCGCTGGAGCTGCAGATGGAGCTTGCGGCCCAACATTGTTTGGGCCTGAAGGAGCTGGGAAGGGACCTGGCACTGTTGGTCCCACCTGAGCTGGAGAAGCAGGTCTGCACCGACTTGAATGAGGACCAGCTGAGGCCTCTGATCAACCCTATCCAGGGTGCACCTGAGGTTGTGGTGACCCTTGGCATGAATTAACCTTTGAGACGCTCGTAGAAATTGTGTTTCATGCGCTCTCACGCATGCTCAGAAGCAGCCTCATGTCAGGAAGGACCATGAATGGATGATGAGAGGCTTGCTGGAGTTCCCAGCCTTCCAAGAGAGATGCCCATCCAAGTTTGAAGCCGCGGAAATCCTCAAGAGCTTGAATGGTCATTTCAAGGCGCAACGTGTGGAGTTGAGACTTGCAGAGCAGGGGTTCTGGAATCATGGGGGTTTGCAACCATTTGTTTCTAAGCAAAGCTTCCTGGCAGGGTCTGGCCATTCGTGCGACGCATGATGTTGCCACTCGTTTGCAAGAGCGAATTCCCAGGTCATTGTTGCGATTTTGAACGCGATTCAGGATTTCAGCACTGAGCTTGAAGCCCAATGCCATCGATTGACGAAGCTTTGGGGCCGAATGCGCAAGTTGTGGCACAATTCGAAGACATCCTCCCGACAGCCTTGGCTGCAAGAGTTGAAGGACCTGATGAAGCCATCAGACGCTTAGCTTGATGCCAATCCAAGTAGTGACCCAAGTGTTAAATAGTAGAAGCGATCCAGATTTGCATGTTATGCAATTACATGGCCCCTCTTCTTGTGAGGTTGTGCGCTGCTTGTACTTTCTCGTGAGTTTTGTGACCAGCGAACCAAGGCTCGCTCACTTGAGGATTCGCAAGCGAGCCTGGAGGCTTGCGACAGCTCGGCGCTGGGTGCTGACGATGATGCTGAGCAGGATGAGCCTGGTGATCCGTTGCCTGATGCTGCGGTTGGTGATGACGGCTCCGATGAGTTGTCTGCTATGTTGGTTACGCCAGCAGAGGAGGAGGACAGTGCAAGGCCAGGTGTGGCCGAAGGCCATGAGTCAGAGGATGCAAATGACTTCGTGGCCGACGTTGAAGAGTCCTCAACCTCTGACTCTGATGGTGCTGATGATGATGGAGATGAGATCTGGGCGCCTCAAAAGCAATCATTGCAAGTAAGTTCGAGGGGTCTAGGATGATGAGGTGCTGCATTTGTTGTCACACGTCCACCATCTTAGGATAAGCGTATCTTGAAGCCAACAAGTTCCGTGGACAGCGAGGAGACCTTGATCCTTGGACAGACGCGGCCCGAGGACTTGGCAGCTGTTCTGCCGGACTTGGTTGATGAGTTCGATGAGCGGATGCGTGACATCTTGAGTCATCCTCCTCCAGCCCTGCCTCCAGGCAAGGTGTTAGGCAAGACCTGAGTTTGAGGTTCTTCATTTGTTGGGCAGGTGAGCGCCAGCAGAAGAAGAAGAAGAACAAGGCTTCTTCGTCTTCGAAACCCAAGAAGATCGAGAATGAGAAGCCTGCTGGGATAAAGCGGAAGCGATCCTTGTTTGATGTGATATGGAGGGATGCGAGAGATTTGTGCTTCCAGAATTTGCGGGCTCTTTTTATCTTAAGGTGCTTTTGAGGAGGCGCCACGCGAGTTCAGAGATGAGCGCGACGTGGATGATGGTGATGAAGATGAAGGGGCCAAAGCGATCCTGGATACCTTTGACGTGGCCTACCGGCCCGCCATTCTGAGCCTTCCCACGCACTTGCGGCCAGTGAGCAAGCTGCATGGGAAACACTCGTACACGACGAGCCTTGGAAAGCAAGTGGGCAAAGCATGATGTTGTTTTTTGCAAGCGGTGGGAATGTTGCACATTCATCAGAAGCGTGGCGGACAATGGCGGAAAAATCCACAAAGTGGAGATCCTGCTGCGGCAAAGCGCCTTCAAACCAAAGCTGGAAGGTGTGAAGGCCGCTTCGCGCTTCAGATTGCAGTTGGGTTTGGTATGATGTGTAGCAGCCAGAAGCCACCTTTTCTCTGAAATTGCCTAGGATCTCCTGGAAGAACCAGCCCATGGATCAAGCTTTTGGTATGTTGATGAACAAAATCAACGGACATACCTGAGGACCTGCTCAGCATGGACTGTCTCTGCCAGCATGTCAGTTTTGATGAACAAAATCAACCGATATACCTGAGGACTTGCTAGGCATAGGCAGTCTCTGCAAGCATGTCAGTTTTGGAAGTTTCTTGACATCCGGCGCACAGAACAAGCTTTGGATTGAACGAAGCAGCGGCCTGCCAGAAAAAGACACTGTAATTGCTTGTCGGAGAGTTTCGTATCAGACCTGCGCTTGCCCCACATGACCACCGCCCCCCCCATAAAGTGCAAGCCTACATTACATCATCTGAGGAATACTATGGTTTCGCGAGTATGCTTCTATCTCCTGATATTATCAACACTGGCTATACCCTGGTGTTTGGAGCAACCGGGGTCTTCGCTATTGGAAGCCCATCCATTATTCGCTTTCCTTGCACGGAGAGTCAAAATTTACAAAGAGCCTTGGCTGCTTGTGGTGGGTAGGCCATCTCAGTTTTTGATGTTGTGCGTTCACCCCTACCAAGAGGGGCGCTCAGACCCTGTGACACAGGCCCCTGACAAAATGGGCTTTCCCTGAAAATCCACCAAGTTTTGACATGATTCCTACAATGGTCCCGACTTTTGGCATGGGGGTCACTGGAGGCGCCCCTCCACACCGCTGGCCTGGTGTGGGGGTTGGGTCCTGAAGAAAACAACTGACACGTTGGGGCCAACACGCATGGGGTCTCATGTGTATGACAGCAAGATGCATGGGCTAAAGTGCTTGCTGACGTTTGTCAGTGCCACCGTGGGTACCCACAAGTGTGCGTCAGGATACCATGGCATGGGGGGCCATTCTGCCCAAAATAGGTTTTGTTCTTTCATAAGCCCAGTGAAGTGCACAACAAGCGAGACTCAGGTGTTCATATGGTTGGGGGGCTATGGAGCGGAGAGTCGCTGCCTCATCTGTTGCACATGCCAAACAAAGAATCTACACATGTAGATCCATGTTCTCAACTTCCCGAACAGTCGCCACCCCAGGCCCGAAGGCTACACTGATCTATTCGAACTACAAGTTCATCAAGGAGTTGTATGTGCCACTTCCCGACAACATCGAGTGGTCCAAGGAGATTACTACGAAGCATCCTGAATGTACATGCAACCATGGATTCAGTAACCGAGTGTTTCCAACTGTTGTTTGAGTTGTTTGTGTGCGTCTTGGAACAACAACCAAGGCGAACCTTGGAGGATGGGAGGATTTCTGTATCTGGCGGTGCCAAATTGAAGGATTCTCAACACTACCCGAAAAGATTTGGAACAGCGGTCTTCCAGATGTACACGCGGCACCAGGACATTCATACATTCATACGATCTCGAATTGATGTTCCCAATTGCGATTTCCAGCTTAGAAAACACAAGCATGACTTGCTTGCAGTACGAAATAGAAGCTCGTGTGCGAGAAAGGGTGTGGCTTGGCAGAATATTAATCGCGGAGACCTAATTGATTGGTTGTTCGCGAGATGTAAACATTGTGTGTCTCAGGAAAGAGATCCGAAATATGGGGCAACAACCCGTGATGCGCGCTGCTTGGTTCAAAACTCATATATGGCAGAATAACACGACCAAAAGCTTTGAGGCCATCTAGGCAGGGTCTGGTTACAGAATTTTGAACGTTGTAATGCTGTGGTACAAAGTAGAGGGAAGATTAGAAAAGTCAACTGATCCAGCAAAGGTTCCTGGGGTGTGAAGATTGGGAGGCAAGAACGAGTAAGGCATCTAAAGGATTTATCCGTTTATCGCTTATCACCCAACAACTTACATGGGGCATCGAAAGGTTTTCCCATGTTCTCCCACATTGTCATGTATAAGGGGTCGACTGTAAGGAGTCAATCATCCAGCGATCATGAGAAGATGCGCATGCATAGGGGAAAGGTTCCGTAACCAGCTCGCTTTATTTGTCAGTTTATGTTGCAGAGTCAAGTCCCCGGATTGATCGGGATTATTGAGTTTATCCGGCGCGGGGGGGCTTCTCGGGTGTATCGAGTTTATCGGGTTTATCGGTTTTATCGGGTTTTATCAGGTTTATCGGGTTTATGGGGTTTATCGGTTTATCGGTTTATCGGGTTTATCGGTTTATCGGTTTATCGGGTTTATCGGGTTTATCGGTTTATCGGTTTATCGGGTTTATCGGGTTTATCGGTTTATCGGTTTATCGGGTTTATCGGGTTTATCGGGTTTATCGGGCTGTTTTCTTGATTTTTGCAGCTTGACTGCCGAGTCTGGTTTCAGCACATGCTTGTTTAATGGGGAGCTCGTTTTTAGCCAAGGATCCCGGGTGGGCTCGATCAGCCAATCTGAGACAAGCTTTGCACGCGCTGCTTTAATTAGGCAGAGTTGTTTGGAGTGGGCACACACGCGGCATTAAGTTCTAGAGGTCTGTGCCCAATACAATGAAAGCCCCGGGTGGAAGGTGGCCCCAAACCTATTTGGCTCATAGCTAATTGGTCTGTACCCAATACAACAAAAGCCTCGGCAAGAAGCTGGCCCCAACCTAGCTGGCCCCGAACCCATAATTGGTCTGTACCCAATACAACGAACGCCTCGGGTGGAAGCTGGACGCTCCTGGTATATAGCCCAGAACCATATTCTGTACCCAATACAACGAACGCCTCGGCTGGAAGCTGGACGCTCCTAGTATATAGCCCAGAACCATATGTCTGTACCCAATACAACGAACGCCTCGGGTGGAAGCTGGCTGACCATGTGCCCCGAACCCATAGGTCTCTACCCAAAACAACAGAAGCCTCAGGTGGAAGCTGGCCCAGGGGTCTGTACCCGACACAAAAATTCTTTGGTCCAAGCATGCTTTCTCAGATCTGCCCGAAATGCTTGACCTTTTTAAAAGGATTTCCCTACCGGTTTGGTTTTCCTCGAGTTTTTTCATCCCAATGCATGTTTTTTGCGATTTTTTCATGGGGGTGAAAACCCGATAAACCGATAAAAATCCAATAAAAAGCCAATAAAAACCGATAAAATTTATTGGTTTATTGGCTTTTTCTTGGTGGCGTTTTTTTTTCTTTTTTTTTTTTTAACAAATTTCTTGCAGTCATGAGGTTTTTGCATCCACATGACAAAGATGTTGTCGTCCGCACTTGCAAGTGCATCTCGTCCCTTGCATCCAGATGAGCAAAATATTGACAGTCGTGGTGCCACTGATCGACGTGGTTTCGTCGTGTGTACATTAGAGGTTTTATGGAACACATCCGTCTGAATAGGAGTAGGAATAGGAGTAGTAGTAAAGAGGTACTGAGAAGGGATCCAGGGTTAGGGACAGAACAATCTTCGGAAACCAGGCTAGCTCAACTTGTGGGTTCTTCCATCAACAGGGGGACGTCTTGGGAGGTTTTTTTTTTTTACAAGGGCGGTATTGTTTCAGGTAAGTAGTAAAGGGACTTTAACGGGAACCCCAGAACCGGGAAACCTCAAGAAAAAAGTAGGAACATAATAGGAATATACCTACCAGGGTCCTCTTATTCCCATATGTTCCTACTGTATTCTTGAGGTTCCGGTTCTCCCACTTTACTCCCTTCAAGGTAGGGGATCCTCCACTTTTTCGAAAAACCAGGCTATCTCGGCTAGCACTTGGATGTTCCGAGAAACAAAGGACCTTTTCCTGGGTTGCTGCTAAGGAAATTTAATTAAGTTACTATAATAAGGAAACCCTGTTACTTACTGTATACCCATATTATGTAACTTAAAATAAGTCTTTAACAGCAGCCAAGTTTGTTTTGGCCGCCATTTCTATTAAGAATCCTTTCGTTTGGACTATGCAAGAGGACCCCTGAATGGAAACTCCTTGTTTGACTCTTGCAAGTCCATTACCTGCTGTGAATTTGAGTAGTTGGGCCAAGGATGGGCTCTAAACCCTGAACCCTAGAACATGTTTTAGAAGTATTAAACCCTAGTCTCCCTAAATCCGTCCTTCACCCCAGTTTGGGAGGGCATGTTTCTAAGTAATCCCAGGTCAATGCGCCAATGTCCTTGCAAAAGTTTCTACATAATCCCTATATGAGCTATAGTCTAAACTCCTAGTATCCCCCTCAATATCCACTATAGCAGTCCCCTATATAATTCCCTATATAAACCACTTTAAGTAGTTTAGACTATAGCTCATATAATCCCAAACCTTTTGGAGCTGTAGGCCCTGGCCTCCGGCTCCTCATCGCTCTTGAAAGCCATGGCAGAGGCTGGGGGATGTACTTGGTGAGATAGGATAGATTCTAAGATTAGAAGTTAGAAGTATGGGCCCCTAATATGGGTCCCTTTTGCAGAGGGATTCTAGGGACCCTTCAGGGTGCACATAGGATACATGGCAGGCATATACGGATCCCAGTGTTAAGGGTCCATACTAGGGCCCATGGTTTCAAACTTAGACACATGAGGTTATGTAGGATTGCAGAGGGTTATATGCTTATGTAGCAACATATAGGGTAGTACAGGGTTACATAGGGTTACCTAGTGTTCTATAGGGTTCATTGAGTTATGTAGGGATGCATAGATTTATTTAGGTTTTTATAGGGATGTATAGGGTTACATGCACTCAGGGATATACAGGGTTACCTAAGGGTGGACAGGGTTACATAGGATGTAGAGTCCTCCATAGAAAGCCAAAGGGAAAAGAACATGGAAAGCTAAATGGACGCCTGGCTTCTATAGGGGTTTATGGTATAGGGATTGTGGGGTTTCAGGGTTCGCGGCCTACTAGAGTTCTAGAAGTGATTGATGTCATTTGCATTGGTACTTCTTCAGGCTTCTATGTTGCTTGGGGGTGTTCGACCTCAGACAGGTTAGTGGTCTCTTGCTTTTAGTTATGTTGTAGGATTCTTCCTATGGAGCTAGGTAACGCAGAATCAGATCCTCAACCTGAGCAACTGAGACCCCTCAACCAAGAATAAACCCTCGGAGGGTCAATACCTGACTCTCCAAGCACAGCTTTTGGTTTGGGGCTTAGGGTTTTTGCTGTTTCGGGGTTGTGGATTTTGGGTTCAAGGCTTAGGGTTCAGGGTTTAGAGTTGGCCAAGTATATAGGGTTTGAGGTCCTGTTTTTTTTTGAATTGGGGTTTAGGCTTTAGCTTTGGGTTAATCGACTATCGTTCTTTCACCAAAAAGATGTTCTCCACGTGTTTGACCGGACGTGCTGCGTCCTCACTAGAAATCGCAGACAGCTCATCATCTACTCCATGTGCCAATATGCTGTCTATGAACTACCTGGGCGAAATCGCCGTGTAGCTTCACTGGGCGGTTCTGGATACTGGGCGTGTGGGCATCAGCCTCTGACAGGGTTGGAGGATCGAAGGGATAATTTTTGACGACGGAGTATGGAGTTCAGAGCGTTTGGCATTGAGAGCGCGCAGTGCAAAGGTAATCAAGCGCAGGAAAAAGTTCAGCGCCCCAGCATTGATAGCACCCCGCTTGGTGAGGGAAGCAAATTGATGAAGAGCGGACCTTCACCAATCCGGACCATGGACCATGCACCGCAAAGCCACTCCTTGTCTCATGCTTTGGAAGTCTGACCTTTGTCACCTATGTGAGGCTTCTTTCATAGTGAAGACTACACTGACGGCAGAGCCAGGAAACCCTTTTGCGGCTTTTGCAACTGCATTTCCAAAGCACAGTCAGTGGGATAAGAAATGGATTACAGCCACAGTCATCAAATAGGTTTTACGCAGCCTAGATGGCAGACCTGTTCTTACTTTCGCCCCTAGCATGCTATTATCATCATTAGTATTGCTGCGTAAGTAACACTATAATTCTTATAATGTAGAAACATTATTATTACTCTTACTATATCTATAAATTATGGTTATTACCATCCCGTACACTCCAAACTCCAGGCAGATCGCTCTGACGATCGTCTCTCAGAGAGCCCAGCACGGGATCCCTGGCCGGGGCCTCCAAAATGAGGTTAAAACCACAATTTTGGATACTGCCCCCACTCAGTAACAGTTGGATAATAACTATAATATGGTTCTATATAGCCCTTAATAGGACCCCTAATATAGACTGTTACTGGGTGGGAGGCAGTACCCAACCTAAACTCCTTAAAAGGGGTTATGTGGGGGACTATAAGGGTGGTCATGTTTTAGGGTCTAAACTCCTTAAAGGGGGATTATAAAGGGGGTTCTGTAGGTTTTAGGGTTTA